CGCAAGTTGAATTGCCAATATAAAAATTCCCAATCATTAATGCGCATGTTCAGTAATGCACATAATTATGTGTACACAAAAAATTACCAAATAAAAAAACCGAAAATTACAATTTTACAGCAAAATTGCCAAAATAAAGCTCCACCGAAATAAAACACTATGCAGTATTGTACATGTATGCATTGATTACATGTACAGTATAATTCATTACCATTACATGCTTTATTTATTGTTGGTTCATTGTAGATGTGAGTCCAGAGAACAGAAAGGTTCCTGTATACATACGTCACTCGTCTCTGAGGCTGCCATTCCGTCCGGTCAATCCTGTCATTATGGTAGGACCTGGGACTGGACTGGCTCCTTTTCGTGGATTCATACAAGACAGATCAACTGCAATTAAAGAAAGTAATGGATTATATTACTGACTGCAATTATCTTTAGTCTTAACATAATGAAGTAACAAGTGGGTTGATATAATTATATTCATGCATTTAGTTTCTTGTGTTTGTTGTTCTAATTGTGTGTCGTGGATGGTATTTCTTAAAAACTGGGGAATGTACATATGTTCTGTGAGTGTTGTGTAGGTGTTGAGCTGATTCTAATCAAATTTGGTTTAAAAATTGTTTCTTTTCTAGTTATAGTAACTGATATACATGTAATTCTAATTCCCTCAACCATTGATTCTAACAACTGACTCAGTAGATGTGTCATTCTGTATAAAGGAAAGCCATACAGTGTACATGTACATGTACATGTATTTTGTGCATAAAGTACATGTTTATGTTATGTTAAGAATGATATCATTAATATCTAGAGGTTTTACATTTTTATTGCCCATTTGATGAGTGTACATGTATTTATTCTGATCAAATTTGGACCAGTTATGAATTTTTAAAGTGGGTCAGAGGTCATATAGTTTGTACAGGTTAATGCATGAAAATGACAATAATAGTAATAATAACAATTTCCAGTAATACATGTACATCTAGCTATTATGTTTTAATATAATTGTAACTGACCCTATGTTTGAACATTAGTAGCTGTAATATTATGAACCATTAATTCTGGAAACAATGTATACATGTATCATATACATGTAGCTAGAAATTAATTTTATTTCTGCCAATTAGACCTGGTCAATCACAGTTCTAATTGTAACTAGAGGCTCAATTATGATACAATTCCATGATTATAATTGTAATTGAGACTTAAGCCTAAACAAAATGTACTGTAATTGGAATTTTTATCGAAATTGTGTTCTCATAGTGTCCTGACTACTTCAGAGTTACAGACAAAGGTAAAATGTCCTCTTACCTGATCATATGTTCATGCACTGTACACATGTAGAGTGAAGTGTGACGATGAGGGTTTCCCAGTGTACATGTAGTTCAGCTCATGAGGTCTGCTGTTTAGCTTGCTCAGTAGCTTTGTAGAAACCTGATCCATGATATTTTGTAAAAAATGGCTAGGAGAGAATTCTCAATTAAAAAAATTTTTCGTGATACATGTACCAGGATTGGGGTCAATTACATTGCAATCCTAATTAATTGCATTTAAATACATATTTTTGAGTAATTGCAATCACAGTTGTATTTTATAACAAAAATCAGATGTATTTGCAATTGTATTTAGTTACCCTAAAAGATACTGTTTTTAATTTTAAAATATGTAGATTTCATAATTATGTACATGTACATGTATATATGTACATACATGTACATTGCATTGTACATGTATATATGTACATACATGTACATTGTACATGTATGTGTGGTGCAGAAGAAGCTTTAGCAGTCTGTTTGATGAGCATTTTGAAGAACTAATGCTCATTGTAGTAACATTGTGCTAGTATGAAGTATTTTAATTATAACTCTTGATTGTAATTGCAATGTAATTGAATACATTATTTGTATTTGAATGTATTTGACCTTTTTGTTGACCTTGTTGAGTTATGAGAGACCAACTATAACAAACTATAAGAAGCTCCCCATCTTTTTTCTCATTCTTTTCATAGTTCTGAGTATTATATTTTGGAAGGACATCAAACTGAGTTTTCTGTCTCTTGTTGTCTGCCTGGTTACGTTGCTCACCCTCTATCTTGATACACTGCTACACACTGTTGTTCTTGTGTTGCTGGCGGCCATGATTGTCTCTTATATTCATTGTGACAAAGATTGCCATTGATTCTTTCTATAATAGACAAATAAAAAACCCTTTTAAGTAAGGAAAACAAGAAAAAGAGAGAGTTTTTATTTTTAGTTCTTATTTATTAGAATTAACATGCACCCTTTAGTACTATATCCAGTCTCCCAGTACATGCACACAAGCATTCTCTGTCTCTCAATACAGCCACATTCTCTCATCATGTACTAATTACTCTATCATGACAGGATATACTGAAGGAAACAATGAAAAAGATCTTAGCAGCAGAGGAGGCTGTTCAAATTGAGAACCCTGGTCACGAACATGTATATGCAAACAGGTATATTTTAATTGTATTTATACAAATTTACATGTACTTGTACATCTAGTGTCAACTATTACTCCTGTGATGAACAAAATGATAACGAACAAAATGGTAATGAAAAAAAATGGTTTAGAAGGCTAGGACCTTGAAAGTACATGTACATGTACTTGGACACCTACAGGTAAGATTTCAACAAAAACATTAAGACAAGAACAATGCCCCCAAAATCACAATGCATACAGTATTAGCCTTCTGTATAATAACGGCAAACTTTGACAATGAATTTAAAAGTTTGTATCATAGTTAATGTACACTAAAGGATTGGCATGTATGTACATGTACATGTACACAGCATGTGCAATGAATCCAGTCTACATAGTACATATTTTGCTTTTTGTTCTTAGTATTGCTTTGTTATAGATACTGAAGACCTTACTCTTTTAATTGAGGGAAACCAAATTTTAGAGAAGCCCTTCTCTGAGCACATTAATACAAGCATCTTGAGCACTGAAGATGACAATATGTTTCCTTTATCTGTACAAGCATATTTTGAGACAAGCCAGGAATGGGTTGTAAATAATATTGAAATGAGCAATAAGAACTGAATTAAAAAATACAAAAATAGGCACATGACAATGTTTTAATTATGTTTCATCATTATTTTGTAAGTGATTTTCAATAAAAGTGTCATATTCACCAGTGAAATCAAATAATTCTCTTAAAGGAGCATCAGGAAACTATAAAAGAATGATATCACTGTTAATATATCAGTCTTATCTTACATTAGAAGATACATATCCAAGTACAGATATAGCCCTAAGCAAGGGACCAGTGTTAATGACAGTGAAATCAATATCAATGTTGATATCAACAGAATCACTGATCACGATTTCTGTAACATTATCCATTTTATTAGTCCTATAATTAACTAAAATAAATAATAAATAATAATAATTGTGTACCATTTTAATTCAAAAGTGATATAATGCAGTCCATGACCAAAGGAAGAGACAGGGTCCCCTAGCTGTATGTACAACCGGGCGGTTCCCTCATTGACATGAGCCAATAAGCAGCTATATTAATTTACTCACATGGATACTGTGGGAGGGGCCAAGAAAGAGTTGAAAAGAAGTATAAAAAGTTAGTGTAAAGAGATGCTTCCTCATACAAATGTTAGAGGTAGTCTTCCTTGATGGATTCATTTCTCTATAAAGTATTTCAGCAATAGCCTGACCTCCAGATTGACCAGGATACCCAACCCAAAAATTAGCAACAGCTAAATCCTAGAAAAATAAATGAATAAACATTTATCATCATAATGCATACAGTATGTCCTCCTATAGGCTATTTTTTTATAATTTTGGGTGTTTTTCTTAAGATGGCCTTAAATTGAAAAATTGAAGTCGGAATCACCTCAAACTTTCTACACAGCATAAGAACATCAATATGTATCAGAAAATGTAATTAAAAATTTGGAGTGATTTTGGAGCCATTTTTTGAAATAAAACCATGGACTATAGCCTTGGGTATTTTTCAGATTTTGGCGTTTTCTTAAAATGGCTGTAACTTGAAAAATTAAATTCGGAATCACCTCAAACTTTCTACGCAGCATAAGAACATCAATATGTATCAGAAAATGTAATAAAAAATTGGGGTGATTTTGGAGCTATTTTTAAAAAAAAAACCATGGACTATAGCCTTGGGTATTTTTCAAATTTGGGGCGTTTTCTAAAAATGGCTGTAACTTGAAAAATTAAAGTCGGAATCACCTCAAACTTTTTATGCAGCATAAGAACATCAATATGTATCAG